CCACTTTGACTTTTCGATGCCGTTTTTCTCAATGAAGGAATTTTTTTCGAATTTTTTCTTTATTTTTATCGGAATCTACATAGAATTCTGTACAAAATAAAGCAATAAAATCTTTCACCGCACACCACCTTTAAGAATTTCAAAAACATTTCTAATCGGAGTCTACAGTAACCCTCCCCCTTGACTTACCGTAGCAAACTGCGAAGAGACACCAAAAATGACGACCGGCAGTCCGTAACTCATGAATGCTCTCATCACAGGCGGCATCTGGTCAGCCGTCGTGCCCATTTCGATTCCAACCTTAGTGACCAGTGCCATGGTGGCCGCAGAAATGAATGGAAGTGCGTAGTAGGGATCTGTGGCTGTGAGATCTGTGAACCAAAGGGCACCGCCTTCCGAAAGTCCCGGATAGTTGACAGCTACCATTTTCTGCAAATTTCGGATTTTTAGCATATTTTTTGTAGTCAGAAGGGTGAAAATGCGCTCAAAATAGTTCAAAATATGCACAATTTTGAACCTAAAATTACCAATTTTTCCTTAAAAAGCGGCCAAAATCAGTCAGAAATAGTCAAATTTCTAATCAAAAATCGCGAATTTTCAGCTAACATTTCTAACCAAAAGATTGGAAAATTCCCCCGAGAAATGCCAAATTTTTGAAACCAAAAAATATACATTTCCGGCCAAATATCGGAAATTTTCTGCCAAAAAAAAAAGGCAAATTTCTAGCTAAAAATGGCGAATTTCCAGCGCAAAAACGGCAAATTTTCAGGAGAAGAAGAGCGAAATTCCAGCCAAAACTGGCCGAATTTCAAACTAAAAGTGGAAATTTTTAGTTAAAAATAGCAAATTTTCCGAAAATCGACTCAAAATCCTTCAATTTCCGGCTAATTTTCAGTGATTTGCTGTCGAAAAGTCTGGAAATTCTACTGAAATTTGACCAAAATTGACTAAAATTGGTCACAAAAATAGGAACAAAGAAGGATTTTTTAAGGCTAAAATCTATCAATTTTTCACCCGATTTTCAAAATTGAAATTGACCGAAAAAGGCTGAAAATGGTCAAAGAAAATGGTCGGGATTGTTTCAATTTTTTGGCTAAAAATTGGCTAAAATATCAAATTTTCAGTCAAAAAAAAGGTAAATTTCCACCCGACGAATTAGAAAATTCCACAAAAAATGCCAAATTTTTTAAACCCAAAAAAAGACATTTCCGGCCAAATATCGGAAGTTTTCAGACAAACATTTTCATTCAAAAACCCTCTATTTTTGGATAAAAATCTGTAGAAATCACGATTTTTTCAGCCGATTTCTGGCTGCAAATCTTTCATTTCCAGCCCAATTTTCAGCGATTTTAGTGATTTTCAGACATAAAAAGTGTCGAAATTGACTAAAAATCGACTGATGCTGAAAATGGTCTAAAAAATAGATGGGAAAAATTCCATTTTTAGGCTAAAATCTATCAATTTTTCACCCGATTTTCAAAATTGAAATAGACCGAAAAAGGCTGAAAATGGCCAAAGAAAGCGGGTTTTTTTTTCAATTTTTTGGCTAAAAATTGTCTATTTTTCCCCCCGAGTTTTCAGCGGAATTTTGAGCTAGAAACTGGCCATTTTCCCCCGATTTTCAGATTTTTCAGGATGATCAGAGATTCTGGAACCCTGAAATTCTAGATAACGAAATTCTGAAAGTTTTGAGATTCTAAGTTTCTGAAATTCAGAATTTTTGAGATTCTCAAATTCTGGAATTCTTAAATATTGGTACTCTGAAATTCTGAGATTTCTAGATTCTGAAATTCCTGGGTCCTGAAATTTTGAAAATCTGAAATTCCTAGATTCTGGAATTCGACGATCACGATTTTTTTTCAGCCATGTTCTGGCTCAAAATCCTTCATTTTCCGGCTAGTTTTCAGAGTTTTCAGTGATTTTCCGTCTAATAACATCGAAATTAGCTGAAAATTGACTGAAATAGGCTAAAAATGGTCTTAAAAAGATGGGAAAATACTTTTTTGGCTATAAAATCTCTCAATTTTTCTCCCTATTTTTCAACATCGAAATTGACCAAAAAAGGCTGAAGATGGTCAAAGAAAGCGGGTTTTTTTTTCAATTTTCAGTTTTTTTTTCCAATTTTTTGGTTAAAAATCATCACTTTTTTCCCGATTTCAGTAGAATTTCAAGCTGAAAAAGGACGTTTTTTTTCCAATTTTTAGCTAAAAATTGTCTATTTTTCCCCGATTTCCAGCATACTTTTGAGCTGAAAATTGGTTGTTTTCCCCCGATTTTCAGCTAAAAACTAGCTTGAAAATCCCTGATTTCTAACCTTAATAGCAAAGAACTGGGTGGCAAAAACGGCACCGTTCGCCGCCATAACCATAAATTGACGTCCCAATCGGATGTCTTTGGACCGCAAAAAGTCGCGTTGCTCGAGAAGAATCTGCTGCTGGAGTAGCTGATTATTCTCCTTCCTCGCTTCGTCAATTCGATCGCGAAACTCGTTCATCTCTTTTCGATACATTGATTGTTTGGCGACTAGTTTCTGAGACATCACTGGCACCCCTATTAGAAGGGCACGCAAGGTTATGGTCGTTGCGACGATTGTCAGCCACCACGGAATGTCCAGGTGCATGTGCATGCCTGAAAGGATATGGGCGTTTTTTAAAGGGGGACTCCGACCAGAAATTTTTATTGCATTAAAATGTGTTAAAAGTTATCTATCTTCCGAATATTATTGCAAAAAATACAAAATTCTGAAAATGTAAAAATTTGAAATTTCTTCAAAATTTTAGAAAATAGAAAATTTTGAAAATTTAACTGTATATAGAAACCGCTAGAAATCGTTTCGAATGAGTAAAAAATCTATGAAACCTCGAAAAATTGCTTAAAAATACGAAAAAAAACTCTGGAAAATCTTTAAAAAAAGTCGATTTTTTAAAAACAAAATTTTCAGAAATTGCTCATTTTGTTTTCGAAAAAACGTTAGTTTTTTTTAGAATTCAGAATTTTGGAGATTTTGAATATTTCGAATTTCCAAAATTTTCTTAAATTTCAAAAATTCTGGTAAATCAAAAAATCAGAAATTTCGAAATTCCAGAAAAAAATTGAAAATTTCGAAAAATTCTTCGAAATTCGAAAAATTAGAATTTTGTCGAAAATCGAAAATTCTGGAAATTCGGAAAACATTGATTGAAAATGTCGAAATTTGACTGGAAATCGTTCTAATCTGGTAAAAAAATCAGATTTTCAAATTTTCAGCCTGTTTCAGACAATTTTTTTTGTGAATTCAAGTCATTTTTAGCTCATTTTCAGCTTAAAAATCTCGACAAATCGCGATTTTCCTCGATTTTTCGGCAAAATTTTTAGATCTTCTTAGATTTTCCAGCTGTTTTCAACGATCTTTTTTCGATTTTTCCAGTTTTTTCTTCTCTGAAATTTGATGGAACGGTGTTTGATTACTGTAGAAAACCTCGCATTTTGTAGTTTTTGATGCAAACAAAATCACGTCAAAATGAATTTGTTTGCAAATCAGAAACTACAAGCTACAAGGGTTTCTACAGTAATCCACAGTAATGCAAACACCGTTCCATCGAATTTCAGACAAGAAAAAACTGGAAAAATCGAAAAAGAATCTGAAAAAATAGGTGAAAAACCTAAAAAATTCTTAAAATTTGGCGGAAAATCTCCTCGAAACGTTGGACTTTTGGAAGCGATTTTTCGAGATTTTCTCAACATTTTAGGCTGAAAATAAGCTAAAAATGACTTAAAATTTCCAAAAAAAAAATGGTCTGAAACAGGCTGAAAATATGAAAATCTGAAATTTCTATCAGATTAGAACGATTTCCAGTCAAATTTCGACATTTTCAATCTATTTTTTCTGAATTTCCAGAATTTTCGATTTTCGACAAAATTCTAATTTTTCCGATTTCCGAAAATTTTTCGAAATTTTCCATTTTTTTCTGGAATCCGAAATTTCTGACTATTTGAATATCCAGAATTTTCGAAATTTAAGAAAATCCTGGAAATTTGAAACATTCAAAATCTCCAAAATTCTGAAATTCTAAAAAAAAAAACAACTAAAGTTTTCTCGGAAACACAATGAGCAATTTCTGAAACTTTTTTTTTTCAAATCGATTTTTTTAAAGATTTTCCAGTTTTTTTTCCGTATTTTCAAGAAATTTTCAGACTTTTTTCTTTCCAAAAATCTTCAGAAAAACCCCTTACTCTCGAGTGCCCATCTAAAATATGACGATGGTATTCCACCACGACCAGAGCCCGAGCTCCTCCAACACTGATTCTCCAGAAGCGATAATTTCATCCAGCGAGAGTCCGGGCGCCGGTGGCGTCGGCAGTGGCGGAAGCTCGGATGACGTCGCCGCGGATTCTGTGAATTTGAAGACGTCCGCCGAGGAGATGTTTCGGGTTTGACACGTGGCAAAGACTGGATTCAGATGAAGACGAAGGTGTCGGATGGATCCTGAAGACGTCGTCGTCAGGCAGCGGGAAGCAGCCGTTCGCATTGGAACGGACAACATTCTTCTGCAAAATTCTGGCTAGGAAAATCTGGAATTTTCAGAAGAAAAAACAGAGAAAATTTGGGGAAAATTCTGGAATTTTCAGACAAAAAATATGTCAAAAAAAGCAGAGAAAAATCGGCAAAAACCACATTTTTGGAAAGAAAAATGAAAAAAAATTGAAAAATGGAATGATTACTGTATTAATAATTGCAAAAAATGACGGATAGATACAGAAAAAGGCGGAGAATTTACAGAGGAAAAATGGGCTGAAAATTGAAGATTTTTAGGCGAAATTTAGGCGATTTTAAGACATTTTTTAGCATATAATTATCAATTCAAGGCCATTTTTGACGATTTTTCTGAGCTAATATTTACCAAAAATCAAGTTTTTTTCGGATCTTTTTAAGCCAATTTTAATTATAATTGCTCCAAAATTCCCAATTCTCAGCCACTTGAAACAAGAAAAACTGACAAAAAGTTGGAAATTTTCAGCGAAATTTTCAGCGGAATCAGCGAAAAACAAATGAAAAATGGGAATTTCCAGAAAATTTTAGGCTATTTTCAGACTTTTTGGGTCGTTTTAGAGCTAATTTAGCTCAGTTTTCATCAAAATTTATCCCAAGAATTCCCAATTTTCAGCCGAAAAGATACAAAAATGACACAAAAAAGCGGAAATTGGGAATTTCCAGACAAAAATATGGCTAGTTTTAGGCTCTTTGAGATTATTTATAGGCTTGTTAGGTCATTTTTGACCTAATTTAGGCACTTTTGAAGGTTTTTCCGAGCTATTTTTCACCAAAATTTATCCCAAAAATTCCCAATTTTCAGCCAAAAAGATACAAAAATGACACAAAAAAAAAGAAGAAATCAATAATACAATGGATTATAGGTGACCCAATGTCCATCTGGCTTCTTTTTCGCCGCTTCACAAGTGGTGAACAGCTTCTTATAGGTATCCGATTTCGTTGGATCCGATTGAATGTCTGAAGACGTCGCCTTTCGCTTCTCGGCTTTTCGATCTGAGGCTCCAGCTCCGAGCTTGGCGATTTCCAGCTTTTTCGCGAGATCCGCTGAAAAATTAGAGAAATTTTTAGTTGAGTTTTCAGAGAATTTCGAATTCTAGGAAATCAGAAATTATTGTCTGAAAATTCCAGAAATTCCGAAAATTCAAGAAATTTCTGAAGTTCAAAAAATTAGGAATTCCAAAAAAATCCGCATTTTCAGCCTATATCAGACCATTTTTTTTTGTGAATCAAGGGTAATTTTCAGCATATTTTCAGCTTAAAAAACTTCTAAATTTTTTTAAAAAAATACAATTTTCCTCAATTTTTCGGCAAAATTTTTAGACCTTTAGGTTTTTCAGCTATTTTTTCAGATTCTTTTTCGAGTTTTCCGGGGGGGGGGGGGGGGGGGGGTTTTGTCTGAAATTCGATGGAACGGTGTTTGATTACTGTAGATTACTGTAGAAAACCTATTATTCTGTAGTTTTTTTTGGGAAAACAATCACGTGGATTTTGTTTGCAACAAAAAGATCTCCAAAATTCTAGGTTTTCTACAGTAATCCACAGTAATCCACAGTAATCAAACACCGTTTCATCAATTTTCAGACAAAAAAATGCTGGAAAAATCGAAAAGGAATCTGAAAAAAAACACTGAAAAACTTTAAAAGGTCTAGAAATTTCGCCGAAAAATCGAGGAAAATCCCCTTCAAAAGCGATTTTTTGCAATTTTTTTAAGCTGAAAATAAACCAAAAATGACTTAAAATCGCTGAAAATTATCCTTGATTCACGAAAAATGGTTTTACACAGGCTGAAAATATGAAAATCTGAATTTTTAAAGTCAAAATTTCGATATTTTCTGTCTAGAATCTGAAAAAATAGCAGAATTTTTTTTTGAAAACTTCAAATTTTTCGAAAAATGCAGAATTCTTTTTTTTAATTCTTAAAAAACCGAAAAATCAAAAATTCAGAAATCGAGAAACTCGGAAATTCCAGAAAAAAGACCCTTACCACTCTTTCCAACACTAGCCATCCCCCTGGATCCTGGAGCACTGGGTCCTGGAGCATCAGAAGACGTCGACGGCCCTTCTGAAGCCATTGCCGCCGCTTCCATCTTCTCCGCCGTCTTCTTTGCCTTCTCCTTCTTCGCCGCCGCCTTCTCAGCCTTCTCGGCCTCCCATTTCAGTTTGTACAACTCCAATTGCTCATCCTCCGGATTCAGAATCACCATCTTCGTGGCGTCGTACGGTCCACCACACACGTGGCAATTCTCCGACTTGACTTCTTGTTGAGCCTTCTCAGAATACACACATCCACACTGCCAATTCACCAAAAAACTCTGAATTCCGTTCATTGGAACGTTGGTGATAGGGCAGAGGAACTCGGTCTGATTCACATCATTGTAGTCGTCGCCCTTGACGTCGCCCCGCTTGAAATCCTTATTTTCAGTCAATTTCAGCTCTACAAAGTCGCGGGGTCCCTTGATATGACTGGCGGCGGCAGATTTTGAGATAGTTTTACTCAGAATCGCATTAATGACGTCTTCTTTGTTGTAGAGCTTTCCGAAGCGGCACGCGATGACTGGTTTCTTCAGTGGCAGTTGGGTCAATTGGCAATTCCTCCATTTTGTCGCATTCTTCACGTGCTTATCGAGCTTCTCCTTCTTTTTCTTCTGTTGAACAAGCTCGCATCTGGAAAAATGGGGACTTTTAGGGGGAAAATTGAGAAAATCGGTTGGAAATGAGCCTAAATAGCTTAAAACTCTCTAAAAGCTCGGAATAGGCCAAAATTAGGCCTTAAACTTGATTTTTAGCCCCAAAATAGCCGAAAATAAGTCTGAAAACCATGAAAATCGATAAATTTTGACTTCAAAAAAAATATTTTGAAGTGATTTTTGCCAGAAACTGATTTTGGATCATTTCCCGAAATTTCCCATGGAAACCTCGATATTTGAACTGAATTCCCTATTTTTGATAGAATTCGAAGTTTATAATCGTTTAGAGCCCTAGAAAGTCCTAAAAATCGCGAAAAAAATCTCAAAACTTATTTTTTCGATTTTTTCCCGGAAACATCGATTTTTTTAGATTTTTAGCACATTTTCCAGTTTTCCCACCCTTTTTCATAGCTAGAAACGTTTTTTAATGCTTAAAATCGCTTCAAAAGTCGTTTTTTTCTAATTTTTTTGCAACTTTTTGAAATTTTCATTTCATTTTCTCCACTAAATCGAGATAAATAAACACTTACCGTTTCGGGATAGTTCCTCCGTCGGCTCCCATGGCGGAATTTCTCAGAAAATCGCGAAAATTTCAGTCAAAAATCGATGAAAAACGCTGAAAACCAAGCGAGATCTGTGACGAAACGACGCCCCGCCCACTTTTGCAAGCGGCGCGCGCGGTTTTCGCAATGCTGCGGCAGGGAGATGGAGTTTTGTCTATTTAATTTTTAGATGAATTTATTGAGACTCCGAAGGGATTTTAATAACAAATTATGACAAAAAGAGAGATTCGGAAAAAAATACCGGAAAATGAAAGAAATCACATGAAATTTACCATAAAAAAGAGAGGAAGTGGAGCTAATAAAAAACCTAGGGGAATGAGGGAAAAATGATTTAGAAGTATTTAAAATTAGATTAAATTAAATGCACATGAAGTGATAAATTGAAAAAATAGAAGTTTTTAGTGGATTTTCATAGATTTCAGCTGCCTGGTGAGCGTCTCTTTTATCTTCTTCTCGCGTTTGGCTTCGAGTTGGGCCAGATTCTGAAAAAAAACTATTGTGAAATTCGGAGAATCAGAATTCAGAAATACAGAAATTCAGAAATTCAGATATTCAGAAATTCAGAAATTCAGAAATTCAGAAATTCAGAATTTCTGAATTTCTGAATTGTCGAATTTCTCAAAAATTTGAACTTTTGGACTTTTTTGTAAAAAATTCAAACTCCCGCCTACTCACTTCAGCTCTTCTCATGGCATACTCCTTCTTCTCAGTCCATTCCTTCTCAATTTTTTCAAATTCGTAATCCATCAAATCATCGGTATATTCCAGCCTTCCACTCCATTGGAACCGGTCCTTTGGTTCGATTCTATGGAACCACATCGAGAAGTTCGATGTGGAATCTCCGGACGATCTGCTTCCCTGGATGTAGCTGGGTGGTCCCAGACGACGTTGGCCTTCTTCTGAATCCTCACCGGCTGGCTTATTCTTCTGGAGAACCTCCTGAACATCCCATGGAGTAGCTTCCTCTTCATTAAAGGGTGACTCGTCAACTTGGAAGAACTGATAAGACGAGAATATGGGATGTTCAGGGGTGGTGATGGGATTGGATGTGGATGGAGTGTTGGTCGAGGTGGAGGGATCTGGAAAATATAGATTTTTAGGTCTTAATATCACAAACATTTTATCAATTGAAAATTTTTCAATATCTTTTATAGGAACCAAGATAATTGAGCTTGAATTGCGCGCGGTTCAGCCAAGGAAGGTTTATTACTTTGAGCCCAATTATCTAAGCTCCTACCAGCGATGTCGAAAACTTGTCAACTGATGAAATGTTTATCATTTAATCAGTAATATTTTATCAGTTGACCAAGTCCTGATTGCTCTCTCAGGAACCGAGATAATTGAGCTTGAATTGCTCGCGGTCGGCTGATTGCGTCATCACTGTACTTGGCTACTTTGAGCTCAATTATCTTGCTTCCTATGCGAGATATTGAGAAATTGTCCACTAATGAAACGTTTATAATGATATCAGCTTTATTTTATCAGTGGACAACTTTTTGATATCTCTCGCAGGAACCGAGATAATTGAGCTCAAAGTTTAATTACTGTTATTTGGCTGAAAAACTAAAATAAAGATAAACAAATATTTTAAAACATCTGGAAAAATTTCTTCTTCTTCTTATCAGTGGTTTTTTAAAAATTTTTTTTTTCAGATTAAAAATTCTGAATAACTTGATTTCCCAATAATAATTAAGTTTCGAAACTCTGCGAAATTTCAGTACAGTAGTTTTGAAACAAAAAATTTTTCGAAGAAAGCTAGAAAATCCGGAAAAAAAAGTTTTTCCTTGAATTTAAAAAATTCAAAAATTCAAAAATTAAGGATTCGTGAGATTCAGCTATACAGGAAAAAACTGTACCTCTTCCATCATGTTTTATCTTCGTTTTCAGGCAAAAACCTCCAGCTACAGTAGGCCAAAGTTTGGCAAATAATTTAGACAGAATATTACTAGTTGCTCCATTTTTAGTTTTACTCATTTTGGACATTTTTTCAGCAACGAGAACGATTGAGTCACAATGAGAACGGGCGGGGCGTTCTGTATTTTTTTCAGTATGAAAAACTGATAAATTTACTGATAAGGGTGTTGAAATTTTAGCAGTATTTCTTGCTATTTGCTTAAAAGTGGTGGGAGACACGGTGGAGACATTGCACCCAAAAAATGTCTCCCCACCCAAAAAAATTGTTAGCCTGTTCTCAAAAGGGCCGAAATATGGTCTCTGAAAGTGCTTTTAGTACTAAATTTCGGCCAAAAACATGCATTTTTCGAGGTTAAAAATTAGCTTTTCAGGATTTGCTTGAGTGCGAAACTCATTTTTGGACATTTTTCTATCTTCTAAAGTAACTTTTAAACATTTTCAAAAAAATTTTTTTGAAAAATTTTGAAAAAAAAATCACCATGGGGTCCCCCACACTTTGAAAATGATTTTTTGAAAATTTTTTGAAAAGTGCGAAAAAACGTTCCAATTATTCAGAAACGATAAAAATAGCATTCTGCAAATTTTTTCAGCCCAATGTTGTCTTTGGGCTCAAAAAATCTCCAAAATCTGATTGTTGTTAGAACTTTGACAGTTCCTAATTTCTGAAATATCGCTTGAACTTAACTGAAACCTATAGAAATAGGTTCGAATCTTGTATGTGATCGATTTGACAGTACTCCACCTCAAAAAGAGAAAAATTGAGCAACTTTCAGAGACTGAAATTTTCGTTTTTAACTATACGAGGATGTAAGAACCGGTCCAAAAGACCATTATCTATTTTTTCCTCAAACTCTCATGAAATCTTTTTTTTTCTTTGAAAACTTTTGAAATTAATCAAAAATTGTCATATAGTGCCTAGGGGGGCAAATTTGGAATCAAAAATTAGTTTCAAAAAATGCAAAAAAAGTTTTACCACAGTGGGGGTCGAACCAGCATAGTCAATCCTAATGAGTCACCCTCTTACCACAACACCACACAACCGATGTTTTCCTCTCACGCGGGATTGGTAGACGAGGGAAGGGGAAGCCGAAGTCGCCAGCGCACCGAAATCGGCCCAAATTTTCAGACAACGTTTTTCGGCCTGGGAGTGAGAACGGGCTAAAAATTTTTTCGTCATCGTATAGAGCATGTCTTAAACTATAAGTATGCAAATTTTGAGCAAATTCTCAACCGTTGTCTAAAAAACCTTCCCTTGTTAAATTAATCTAATATTAGCTGAATAAATTGAAATTACACAGTTACAATGGAAAAAAAATAGTGTTGTTTATGCAAAAAACCGGCATAAACTGAATTTTTTAAATGTAGAATTTTTGTGAAAACAAGCCCAAAGTACGAAACTTTCATGGAAACGTCTGAAAAACTTGAAAAACCTCCAAGTTTTTCCTATTTTTACCTACCAGTCGGTTTACGCCCTTTCTGCCCACCACCCGTTACTGTGGTGAACCTAAGGAACGTCTCCAGAAGACTTCAAAATCAAAATTTCGGAAAATGAAGAGTTCGGACATTCAATTAGACACATTTCTGATCCACTTTGTCCAGGTTTCAGCTCAATCGGTGAACGTTGAGTGGGTGATAAGGCGCGTGACATACATACGCACCAGAGATGAGCGGAAGAGATTTACGGAAATTTACGGAAGACGGTTTTTTTTTCAAAATGAAAAATGCTACCAAAAAGTTGTGAACGCACAAAATGTAGATCTCAATGAGAGTTATTTATTGGTATAAAAGTTATCTCATAATAGTGATGGAGAGTTGAGATATGGCGTTTCTTCCGTGTTCCGTCTTCCGTCTGGCACACGGAAGACGGAAGACGGAAGAAAGACTCTATTTGAATAATCCAACAAAATTTCGAAACAATTTTAATACCAATCGATAGCTCTCATTGAGATCTACATTTTGTCTGTTGACAGCTTTTTGGTAGCACTTTTCATTTCGAAGATAAACCGTCTTCCGTAAATTTCCGTAAATCTCTTCCGCTCATCTCTGATACGCACATACGGAATCTGGTGAATGTTAAAGGTGGGGGGACATGAAAAAAATAATGTTCTCGAAATTCCGTTCAAAAATGCCCCTCGAGGAGTTGAACTTGTGAGGGCGATGATTGAGGATGCGGCGCCGCTACCGACTGAGCTACACGGGCAAAGAGAAAGCGGACGCCCGATTGCATACATAAAGGCGAGGACGACAGCTGTACGCAGAGTGACATTAAGCGTTGTACACCGTGACGGTAGAATGCATACTCTAGCTACAAAAAAACTACGAAAAATCTCCTGTCCCCCCACCTTTAATAGTAATGATACCCCCCCCCCCTTTTTTTTCTCATGTGATAAAGATCCCTTGTCATAAAGAGCCGAAATTTTTCGTACAAACTGGTACCAAGATGAGGAAATTTTTAATGAAATTTGTTTTTTCGAAAAGCGACGCCCATTTGTCTGTCTAGCAGTTCTTATCAGTGTATTTGATGAAACCTCGAGACATTGTAGGGTTCTTGGAGATTTTGAAATTGAGGAATTCTGAGATTCTGAAACTCTGAATTTTAAAATTTCAGAACCCATCTTTTTCTAATTTTTCTACTTTTCCAATCTCCAATTCTAATTTTTTCAAAATGTTCTAGCAAGCTTCTCTATGGATTACTGTACCTCCCACGAATATAAATGAAATTGGACAAAGCGGCACCCTCTCACTCCCCTCCCCCATTCAGAATATGTAAACAAAGGGTATCGGCAAAAAAAGGAACCAAAAAATATTTTTCAAGAGGCAATAGTTAGTATGTTTTGAAAACATATTTCAAGAAAAATGAAAAGGACCGCCGAGTGGACGTCTTTGATCATTACCGCCAAGCATGGATACTAATTTGAGTCTAATTATCTCGGTTCCTATTAGAAATATCAAAAAATCTGTCAACTGATAAAATGTTACTGATATTATGATAAACATGTTATCAGTTGACAACTTTTTGATATCTCTTACAGTAAGTGTGATAATTCAGCTCAAAGTGAAACCTACAGTACTCCATTTTTCTTCTTTTTTCTATTTCCATCCACTCACAGCAATTTGAGTCATCATTCTCCATTGAGACTGGTCAATGTTCCATTGAGACTGGTCAATGCTACAGTATACTGGGCAAAAAAGAATAAAATCCAAAAGACGATTTCCGTTGAAAATAGTTGATTTTTGAGTTCTTACAAATGCGCTTTATAGTTGTCTGTCTATTTTGAAAATTTCACAAAATATGAAACAAAAATAGAGCTTTATTTTTGTAGTGGACAGCTTTTTTGTACAATCATTTGTTGATAGGGAAAAACAGCTTTAAGATAGCCATAGCCAGGTGATTGAAAGAGTTAGAGTTAGACCGTTAGAGTGTCTCGCCGTCTGCGTCTCTAGGCCGCTAGGCTATGAAAAATTGAGAAAAAAAAATTAGTTTTTAAAAAAGTAGATTATTAGAAAACAAAAGGCAAAATGAGATATATCTCTTATTCGTTTGCTTTCTAGTTAAACATTTTGAAATTTCGAAGTTTATAGTAGTTGCACTTTGAGCTCAATTATCTCGCTTGCTACAAGAGATATTAAAATTTGATGAACTGAAAAAATTTTAGTGAGATTATGATAAACATTTTATAAGTTGACAAATTTCTGATATCTCTTGTAGCAGACGAGATAATTGAGCTCAAAGTGTGCATGTATGGTGGTGAAGCAATCGGCGACGCCGACCGAACAGGACTGCAATTCAAGCTAAATTATCTCGGTCCCTGTAACATTTATCAAAAATTTATCAACTAATGAAATGTTTATCATAATATCAGTAACATTTTATTAGTTGACTACTTTTTGATTTCTCTTACAGTAACCGAGATAATTCAGCTCAAAGAGCAAGGAGTGTTTTTAGTGCATTTTTTTGATAATTTTTTTTTGATAAATCCTCATAAATTTTTTTCTTATTTTCCCCATTTTCAGCTATTAATTATTCATAAAACTCACTTTCTTGTTGACCATCTTCTCGGAAGCGTCTCGAAGCTTTCCGAAAAATGTCCACAACAATCACTAGCAGCTTGCTCATTCTGAAGAAATCGATTTTTTTAGAAAATTCTAATTTTTCGGCCTAAAAAGATAGAACAATGATCCTCTACAAAACAAACAGAAGAGAAAATTGGATTTCTGTGTCTCGTCGGATTCTCATGTGTTTCTCTAACTGTATGGTTTTCGATTGGCCGGAGTGGTCGCAGATAGGCGCCGCCCACTTTTTTTTGGCAAATTTGAGAGAAATAGTACGGAATGGGGGAGAGACGCAGACAGTTAGAGTGATGTTTAGGGGAATTTTAGGGGTTTCGGAAAATCTCGAAAAAAAAAAAATCAGAATTTCAGAGAAATCCCGAAAAACTCAAAAACTATCATCATTCATTTTTCTAATAACATTCACCAAATTCTGTATGTGCGTATGTATGTAGCGCGCCTTATCACTCATTCAAAGTTAACCGATACAGATGAAACTTTTTAACCGATACAGATGAAACTAAAAGAGGTTGAGTCATGGAGGAGCGTAAACCGACTGATAAAATTGACATTTTCACAATATTCCATTACCATTCTCAACAATTTTGAAATATGAGAATTTTGGACGTATTTCAGAAATTTGGCTACTTCCACTGTTTTTGATTATTCAGGATTTTAAAGTTTCCCTTGAAATTTTGAAGTTTTTGGAAATTCCAAAAAAAATTGACTTCAGGCTTTTTTTCAGACAATTTTCATATCATTTTAAGGCTACTGTAGTTGATTACAGTAATTCCTTCTGTCCAATTTTTCTACCAATCGTCCAGTCTTCTCCTCCCCACGCTGTCTCATCGTCTCCAATTCTTCCCATTTTTTTCTCCTAAATTTCGTAATCACTTCTTTTATGTATTTCCGTTTCCCTGTTTTCCCCCTATTTTTCCATTATTACACTGTACATGAAGACTCCTCGCCTGTTCCTTTTCTCCCCTTTTTCCTCTCCTTGGTTTGGTTAGCAAACCATTATACGGTATTTTGTCACTTCTCGAAAATCTAATAGAGACTCGAAAAATGGTGTTTTCTTTTTAAAATCTTTTTCGCATGCAAGTAAAAAATAATGTAACCGTCAGAACTTCTTCTGACTCAGAAGCCCCTAACGACATACCGTAATCCCTGCACTCCACTTTGAGAAAATTTATCTTGTTTTCTGTAATAGATATCAAAAAGTTGCCAACTGATAAAATGTTTATTATAACATCAGAAATATTTTATCAGTTGACTACAATATTTTATCAGTTGACTAAGTGTGCAAGTATGGTGGAGACGCGATCAACAAGCGCGCGGCCACCACCGAGCCGCGCGCAGTTCAAGCCGAATTATCTCGGCTCCTACAAGAGATATCAAAAATTTGCCACTCCACTTTGAGCAAATTTATCTTGTTTTCTGTAATAGATATCAAAACGTTGCCAACTGATAAAATGTTTATCATAACATCAGAAATATTTTATCAGTTGACTACTTTTTATCAGTTGACTACTAGCAGGGGCGTTGGGGAATTTATGCGGTCGAATTTCTCGAGGCAATTATGTTTAGGCTTTCTTTGATTTTTGGGGGGGAAAAGGAGTTTTTGGAATCTCAGGCATTCTTTGGAGTTTCCTATCATTTCGTATTCCGGATTACTAGATTTTTCGAAAATAGTTATTTCAAGCTTATTTTCCCCCCATTTTCCACCATTTCATAGCTGTTTTACCCACAAATTTTTTTTTCATTTTCTATCGAATGGAAAAACCAGGAACGTCTTCAGAAGACGTCAAAATCGAAATTTCAAAAAAAAAACGGAAAGTTCGGGCATCAACTAAGACACATTTCTGATCTATCTGTCCAGGTTTCAGCTGTATCTGTTAACTTTGAATGGGTGTAAAGGCGCGCTACATACATACGCATATACAGAATGGCTAAAAATAATTGTTTCCGAAAAATCTCGAATCAAAAAAAGGGTTTCTCTTCATCCTCTCCGGTTTCTGGTGTTCTAGGTTTATGATGAGCAATCAATTTCTTGAGAACCAATACAAAATGTCAATGTCTCCTTCCTCTCTCTCTCTCTCTCTCTCTCTCTCTCTCTCTCCAGTGTGCAAGACTTTTTGCATCAAGTCATTTTCTTCTTTTTTTTCGTTATGTCCACACAAACTGTCGATGTGACAAATACACTATTCTATCTCATTCGATTCACTCTCTCGTGTCTTGTGAAACGAAAAAAAAAACGAATATGCCTCAGAGACCACACCCCCTTGATACAGTCATTCACTTCTGGATATATTATTCTTGTCCGGCGGCGGTGAGCGAATTCAAAGGCGCATTGCTGGTCCTGAAGCGAAAACAGCTACGGTTTAAAAAAAAATGGATGCGCCTTCAATACAGTACTTCGGATTAACTTGCTTTCACACATATTTAATTGTTGTTCCTACTTGATGAGAAGATTCAGCTGATTAATTTCTGAGCACTGTATCAAAGGCGCATGTGTTTTTTTTTTGTAAAAACTGTAGCTGTTTTCGCATCAGGGCTAGCAATGCGCCTTTAAATGAAATTTCGGCCGCGAGGTTCATCGCCGCCGGACAATAATAACAGTGAACAAAATTTCATTAATTCGATTTTTCGATTTTCTCATTTTTCATTAGGTACAGTATGACTCACAATTGCTCCTGCTGATGCAAAACTGATCTCTTTGAATATCTGTCGTCAGCATTTCAGCAGCGTAGTATTTACAGACATTGATTTCCACAGTAACCTGAAATTTGTAATCTTTTAAACTGTAAGCTTGTAAGCTATAAGGTAAGCTATATGGTTGTAAGCTATGAGCTTGTCAGCTATGTGCTTGTAAGCTATAAGCTGGTAAGCTATAAGGTTGTAAGCTATAATGTAAGCTATGAGCTGGTAAGCTGTGAGCTGGTAAGCTATGACCTTGTAAGCTATGACCTAGTAAGCTATGAGTTTGTAAGCTATGAATATTTTCGATCTATTTTTGAGTGAACGCATTTCAGTACCCTATAATGTAAGCTAGGTGCTGGTAAGCTATGAGCTGGTAAGCTGTGAGCTGGTAAGCTATGACCTTGTAAGCTATGAGCTAGTAAGCTATGAGCTTGTAATCTATGCGCTTGTAAGCTAGGGCCTTGTAAGCTACAAGCTTTTAAGCTGTAAGCTTGTAAGCTATAAGCTTGTAAACTACAAGCTTGTGAGCAATGATGTAAGCTTTGATGTAAGCTATGAGCTCGTAAGCTATAATGTAAGCTTTGAGCCTGTAAGCTATGAGTCTGTAAGCTATGAGCTTGTAAGCTTATAAACTGTAAGCTTGTAAGCTATGATGTAGGCTATGAGCTTGTAAGCTACAAGCTTGTGAGCAATGATGTAAGCTATGAGTTTGTAAGATATAATGTAAGCTATGAGCCTGTAAGCTATGAGCCTGTAAGCTATGAGCCTGTAAGCTATGCGCATATAAGCTATGAGTTTGTAAGCTACGAGCTTGTAAGTTATGAGCTTGTAAGCTTTGAGCTTGCAAGCTATGAGCTTGTAAGCTATGTGGTTGTAAGCTATGATGTGAGCTTTGAGCCTGTAAGCTATGAGTCTGTAAGCTATGAGCTTGTAAGCTTATAAACTGTAAGCTTGTAAGCTATGATGTAGGCTATGAGCTTGTAAGCTACAAGCTTGTGAGCAAAGATTTAAGCTATGTTGTAAGCTATAATGTAAGCTATGAGGTTGTAAGTTATAAGCTTGTAAGCTACAAGTTTGTAAGCAATGATGTAAGCTATAATGTAAGCTATGAGCTTGTAAGCTATAATGTAAGCTATGAACCTGTAAGCTAGGTGCTTGTAAGCTACAAGTTTGTGGGTAATGATGTAGGCTATGTTGAAAGCTATAAGCTTGCAAGCTATGATGTAAGCTATAAGCTTGTAAGCTATAATGTAAGCTATGAGGTTGTAAGTTATAGGTTGTAAGCTATGAGCCTGCAGACTAGGCGCTTGTAAGCTAAAAGCTCGTAAGCTACAAGTTTGTAAGCAATGATTTATTGCTGTTGTAAGCTATGATGTAAGCTATGAGCTTTTAAGCTATAACGTAAGCTATGAGGTTGTAAGCTATAATGTAAGCTATGAGCTAGTAAGCTATGAGTTTGTAAGTTATAAATTTTTTCGATCTATATTTGAGTGAACGCATTTCGTTTTGATATTATGATGAACGTTTTGTTAGTTGACTAATTTTATATATATTTTTTGTGAAATCATTCTGAAAATTTCAGAATATGTAAAAAAAATTAGAACTTTGATTTTGCAATTGACAACTTTTTTTTAGAAAACTTAAGCCGGAGGAGATGTGCCACGTGGAAGTGACAAGAGAAAGTCCTCAAGGCCTCTACTTTGACTCAATTCATCTCGATTCCTGTGACAGATATTAAGAAGTTGTCAACTGACAAAATGTTGCTGCTATTATGATAAACATTTTATCAGTCGACCACTTTTTGATATATTTTAGAAGAAATGAGATAAATTGGCTAAAAGTGGAATGCGGGCTTTTATTCTAGATCTTGCAGTATCAAAGCTGATTTCTTAATTGGTTTTGAATTCAAATTGTTTGTCTTCTCAAAAATTTTCAAAATTAGGAACTGAACTAAAAATCGGAAACTGTTTCAAATACCTACCTATGAATTTCAAAAGCTCCAAATCCAGGAATCTCTATTCCGAAAGTTTCAAGTTTTTTTTCGTGACTTCGGGACTTTAAGATTTCGAATCTGAAAACTCTAAAAATGTTTCAAGATAGACCAGTTCTTCTTATCGCTGCATCTTCCCAATAATGAAATTCCCTATCACCCGTTTTTCCTTCAATTTCTACCCCTACTCCCACAAATTTCCAGCTTTAAAAAACTCACATTTTCCAGCTAAGCTCGTCATCCCGTCAGCCAATTCGAAGGATTCCAACAGCGAGAGCAGCTTCTTCAGTGGAAGCGGATACATTCGGATCTTTGGAGAAATTTTGGAGATGTGTCTTCTTCATTTGGAGCAAGTTCCGACTTCTCCACCATCGGCA